AAGATCAGAGTTCAAACCTACTCTTGCTCTCAAGAATGAACAATAGGATGCTTGAACAAAGGTGTGGCTACTGAGAGCTTTGCTCCTAGAAGGCCAGACAACAGGATGTTTGCCTTTGGGCATGATTACTAGGTGTTTTGAGATGTAAAGAGGTAATTATGCTTGCTTGTTCCTTGTATCATGGGAGTCTTGTGCCCTCCCCTTTAGATTAGGGTATATAAGGACTGTGAGTGTTAAGCTTGGGGCTTTTCTACAGCATCACTGAAAGCCCTCCCGACTCTACCTTCTGTCACTTGTCTATTTCTCTCCCCAGTCCTCACTCCCCTTCTCAGGAATGTATGGACCAGGAAAACCTCAGTCCCAGCAAAAAGGATATTACTTTGTTGGAAAATAAAAATCGGTTTCCACTTATGACTACCTAAGATTATATCTTTTTAAAGTCCATTTTTTAAAAAGATTTATTTATTATGTATACAGTATTCTCAGTACTCTGCCTGCAGTCATGCCTGCAGGCCAGAAGAGGGCGCCAGACCTCATTACAGATGGTTGTGAGCCACCATGTGGTTGCTGGGAATTGAACTGGGGATCTTTGGAAGAGCAGGCAGTGCTCTTAACGGCTGAGCCATCTCTCCAGTCCCCTAAATTATCTTAATTACAATTAGTTCTTATTCTCTAAAATTAAACTTAAAAAACTTTCTTTGAAATAGTATGAAATTTTAATACCTCAGAAATGTAAAGATCGGCTTGCTTGAGCAGTTCCCCAATGATCAGGACATTGGAGGTGGTGCCATCTCCTGTGACTTGGTCCTGGGCTGCCGCTACTTTCGCTATGATGGAAGCTGTTGGGTGCTGAATTTGCTGGAAAAGGTAAACACTGATTTAAAAATACAGGGACTATGATAAAGAAGGCCACTAAACCCAAGATAACCCAAGGGTCAATAGTAAAATTAAGAAACAAACTTCATGTTGCACATTTACAAGTTTTACATTATCAATATTTAGTAAATGTCAAATCCAAAATTTTACAGTTGAGAATTAATGAGGTTTGAACATTTTATGAAAGTCTTTGCTTAAAAATGCAATGACATTTACAAGAAAAGATTAAGCCCTTCAATCTCAAAGATGAATACATATATGAAAATGGCAAAGGACTTTTTCTTTTTCCATGATTACAAAGACTATAATGAAGTGCTCCAAAAAGATGCTATTAATTTGTAAGTATCCCTAAGTTATTAGACTCTATAAACATTTGAAAATAGTCAAATTTCATTCTGTTGATGTTTAGTCCAACAACCATATCTCAAGAATGTAGTTTTTAGCTGACAGCTTTATCTTAAAAATACAAATTGTGAGCCAGGCATGGTGGTAGAAGCTTTTAATCCTAGCACCCAGGAGGTAGAAGTAGGTAGATATCTGTGAGAAAGGCCAGCCTGGTCTACAGAGTGAGTTCCAGGACAGCCAAAGATACACAGAGAAACCCTGTCTTGGGAAAAAAAAAAAAAAAGAATAAATACACACAAAAAAAAATGTGGAGGGAGGGTAAACTGTGGCTGGCATGTAAAATAAATAAAAAAATTAATTAAAAAAATACAAAATTGTGGTGCCAGCCGGTAGTGGTGCATACCTTTAATCCCAGCATTTGAGAGGCAGATGCATGTAGATCTCTGTGAATATGAGACCAGTCTGATCTATAGAGTTCCAGAACAGAAAGGGCTACATATAGAGAAATCCTATCTCAAAAAAAAAAAAGAAAAAGAAAAGAAAAGAAAGAAAGAAAAGAAAGAAGAAACTGTGGAACTAGAGAGAGAGCTCAGCCACTAAGAGTATGTTCTGTTCTTCCCGAGAAGTGGAGTTTGGTTCCCAGCACCACAACAGGAAGCTTACACTTGCCTTAAGTCCAGCTCCAGGGACCCTTTTCTGGCCTCATCAGGCACCGGCATACACATGGCATGCACTCATACAGATAGCCATTCATACGAGTAAAATTTAAAAATCAATAAATCTTTAAAACTACGAACTGTAAGGCTGAAGCTACCGTTAGTGGTAAAGAGCACTTACCTAGCACATGAGAGGGCCCAATGCCCAATCCCTAACATTGCAAATATTATTTTTTAAAAAAAATTTTCAAGACAAGGCTTCTCTGTGCAGTCCTGGCTGTCCTGGAACTCACTCTATAGACCAGGATGGCCTCAAACTCAGAGATCCAACTGCCTCTACCTCCCAAGTGCTGGGATTAAAGGTGTGTACCACCAAGCCTGGCTAAAAAAAAAAATTTCTTTCCTTTTATGTGCACTGATGTTTTTCTTGGATGCATGCCTGTGTGAGAATGTTGGATCCCCTGGATCTAGAGGTACAGACAGTTGTGTGTTGCCATGTGGGTTCTGAGTATTGAAGCTGGGTCCTCTGGAAGGACAGCCAGTGCTCTTAACCACTGAGTCATCTCGTCAGCCCACAAAACTACCTTTAAATAAATAAAGTTGCATATGAGATACAAAGTGTACATTTCCCCTGCAATGTTGAACCTAGAATCTTGTACATGCTAGGGAAGTGCTCTACCACTGAGCTGCATTCCCAGCCTGTGTGCCATGTTTTTAATTAAGGCTTATAAATTTTATTAAAGGCAGCAGCAGATGGGCATTGTATAGAATGCCTGAGTCCAACACTCAGGAGTCTGAGGCAGGATTGTGAGTTTGTGGCCAGTCATGGTTACACAGGCAGATCCTGTCTCAGAAAAGAAAACAAAGAAGAGCATTAGCTCACCATCTCATGAAGCAGTACATTGCCGTCTTTTGTGAGTTTGATATCACCTGCCCCTGAAACAAGCCTGTTCAAAGAACAATGGTACTTATTAACTCCACAAGTCAAGACTCAAAAAACATTCACTCCCAATTCTTGCCATCCACTGTTCTAAACACAGATGACTGGGCTTGGAAACTCCACATCGAACGGGGTGATACTGTGGTAATGACTGCCACTTGCAGCCCCTAGAATTATTTCTCCCAGATGACCTTATAGTGATTTCATTCCAAGTGGAGCATTTATGGGCTTAGAGAGTAGTTGATGGGTCATAAACATTGCCTAATGAAAAGTATAAAACAATGCACAAATCTGCAAATTTCCTGTACGATTTTATTTTGGTAAATGTCATAACTCAGTCACTGAATTTAGTTGCTTTCATCCTTGCATTTATTAGATGCACCAAGCTCTGCCAATTCGACAATTTAAAATACCTTTGAATCTTAGCCCCTTCTCTCCAATTTTATTATCATTTCTAGACTGCTTAGATAGCCATCTTGCCTCCAAATTTGAATCAACTCTTTGCACTATATTTTTCTAAAAGGCAATGTGACTTAGTTTCCTGATAGACAGCCCTTCAATGATTTTATGTCCTCCACCATCTTCAAGGTAAAATTCAAAGTAAGTTAACAATAACATACTTGTCTCTGTGAGTTCGAGACCAGCCTGGTCTACAAGAGCTAGTTCCAGGACAGGCTCCAAAACCACAGAGAAACCCTGTCTCGAAAAACCAAAAAAAAAAAAAAAAAAAAACAAAGAAAAAAAAAACAACATACTTGGCCTTTCCCAAACGCTCTTGTTCCATCGCCCATCATTCCCACAGTAGGTCTTCCAGTCCCCTTAATGCACTGTAATGTTGGTTTCTGAGGGATTTACACCACTGAGAGGCCTTTAGTCCTTTCACCAACTGCCCAACTCACTCTTCTACAACTCTGATCAGACATCACCTGTTATTTGAGAGGTTTTTCCTTCAGCCATTAGTAATTGGACCCCTTTCCTCTGTAAAATCGTTTGCATCTATATATAATTGACCCACCTGTCACTACCATGTCCTTGAGATGCTATCTCAAGAGCTGCAGAGATGGCTCAGCAGTTAAAAGCACTTACTGTTCTCGCAAAGGATCTGATCTTGGTTTCCAGCACCCATATCAGATGGCTCACCCAAGTTCGGGGGATCTGACACCCTCTGACCTCTGGGAGCATCTGCACACACCTCGTGCACATAAATTCAGATAGGTGCACACATATAAATCAAACTTTTTTTTCTTTTTTTTTAGAAATGAATAGAAACTCTCTCATTTGTTTTCCCAGCATCTGATGTTAAGTGGCCTCGTTTACTGTTAATGTCAGTTTGCTCATTCCTCTCGGGGTGCCACTTTGCTAAGAGACCTTTTCCTCTCCCCATTTTCTTTTCTTCCTGTGTAAAACAATGGTGCTAAATAAATGTATGTCCAAATGGATAGATAAATATAAAGAACTCTAGGTACAGAGAGTTGCAGGAACTTGACTACTAACAGATGATGAAACTTGAGTTTGAACCTAAGCCTGCCTAGCACCAAAGCCAGTGGTACACCACACTGCCAAGTCACAACAATCCGGTCTATGGTGGGGCTGCAGTCCAACGTTTGCTGAGCGCGCGCACAAGGTTAAATACATCCCCAAAAAGGAGAATGGTGAAGGAAGCTCCAGAAGCGTTCGAGGCTTAATGTTTACAGGGAGTCACGGTACGAATAGCTGTTTATGAAAGCTAGTGAAAAGGTGGGGGAGGAGGGTGCCACAGCTACTGGTGGTGCCTTTTCTTTTGGGCGAACAGGCTGAAGATCTGAGAGCAGAATGCGAGAGGGAGGAAAACTGCAGCTTTGTTCGCAGGTCTTCACTGAACATCATCGGCCCCAGAGGGCGCCGCGACAACCCACACACACCCTAGCGGCATCTCACATTTTTAGCGCGCCCTTAGGACCCAGGCTCGGCCGCAGCACATCCTGCAGCCCTCGGGCGGCGCAGACATTCACAGCCAAAGCCGCCTGGCTGCGCGTCACCTCAGCCCCAGGGTTGGCGAGTTTGATCGCTGCCGTGGTTCAACGGTCAAGCCCCCAACCTGCAGACACGGAACCCTGGCGCCACGCCCACCCTCCTGAGCTTCGGCCAATCGGCCCCATAACAGGAAGTGACGCTATCACGCCTCGCCGGTTCAGAAGCTAGAACCGCCTGACTCTCTGATGCAAACATGGCGTCCTCCGCCTCCGCTGGGACTCCGGCGGGGAAACGGGTGGTGAATCAGGAAGAACTGAGGCGGTTGATGAAGGAGAAGCAGCGCCTGAGCACCAACCGGAAGAGGATAGAATCCCCGTTCGCCAAGTACAACCGTCTGGGGCAGTTGAGCTGCGCGCTTTGTAACACTCCGGTCAAGAGCGAGCTCCTGTGGCAGACCCATGTTCTGGGAAAGCAGCACCGGGAGAGAGTAGCCGAGCTGAAAGGCGCCAAGGGAGCAACCCAAGGCCCGTCGGCCAGCGCAGCGCCTCAGCCCATCAAGAGGAGAGCGACGGATGTGGAGAGCCAAGACACCAAGAGAGCCAAGGCCTCCGTGGGACCTCAGGTACAGCCCTCCACCTCGGCCTCGTCTGCCACCTTTGAGAAATCGGGAAAGGAGGCCGCTAGGGCAACCTCCAGTAAACCTTCTGGACTCGGTTTACTCCCTGATTATGAAGATGAGGAAGAGGAGGAGGAAGAAGAGGGGGGTGAAGAAGGAAGGAGGGACAGCAGCAAGCATTTTACAGATGCACAGGGCAAAGACAAAGAACACTCGCTTGTTCCTCCGAGGGAGACAACAAGCAATGTGCTGCCAAACGATCCCTTTAATACAAACCCTCCCAAGGCCCCCTTAGTTCCTCATTCAGGTTCCATTGAGAAAGCAGAAATACACGAAAAAGTGGTGGAAAGGAGAGAGAACACCGCCGAAGCATTACCAGAAGGGTTCTTCGACGACCCTGAGGTAGACGCAAAGGTCCGGAAGGTTGATGCCCCAAAGGATCAGATGGACAAAGAGTGGGACGAGTTTCAAAAGGCCATGAGGCAAGTCAACACAATTTCCGAAGCTATAGTTGCTGAAGAGGATGAGGAGGGACGGTTGGACCGGCAGATTGGAGAGATTGATGAGCAGATAGAGTGCTACCGTCGAGTGGAAAAGCTGCGGAATCGCCAGGATGAGATAAAAAACAAACTTAAAGAGGTTCTGACCATAAAAGAATTGCAGAAAAAAGAAGAAGAGAATGTGGACAGTGATGACGAGGGAGAATTACAGGATTTGCTGTCTCAGGATTGGCGGGTGAAAGGGGCTTTGCTGTAAGGTTTTGAAGATCCAGGTTGTCCATCATTCTCGGCTGCCCCGTAAAAAAGTGCTGTGTCCTAGTACTTGGGTTACTCGGTCCTTGGGTACCCTGAGTTGTTGAGAGAAAATAAGCCACTGAGCAGTAATACTTTGGGGAAGGTACTGCGGTGCTATTTATTATAAAATATTCAAGGTAAAACAGTTTGTGACATTTTTGAAATTATAACCGCAAATCGCCAACTTTTTTGCGTTTACAGGCATAATGTTGATTTTTCAGTTGTAAAATCTTAAATTGTAAATACTGTACGTAGCAAAGTATATATTTACATAAAGTCACTGTTTGAAACTTATAAATAGAAGTCATACAAAAAAGACACACGTTTATATGACCTCGATGTACATATATATTTTTGAGCCTTAAACTCCCAAGGGTTGGGACTTTGGGGAGGTTATTTTTAAAAGGCTACTCATAAACATATATATTTTTCTTAAATCGGTGAATGAGTATTTTGTTTTCAAAAACATACTTCGTGAGATCACTGAGAACATGTCAGAAATGCCCAGCCTCCTTAAGCCAACATTTCTTTTGATAAGACCACTGATTGTGAAGTGTAGGTCTGTATCACCTGTGAAACTTCTGATTATGCGTAGACTGTTGAATCACTTATGAAGCTTTAATGTGAACCTTAGCCTTAGATTCCATAAATGAGGTTCAGATGACAGTATTCTCGAATGTTCCCAGGTTATTCTAATATATTCCCAGGTTGGAGAGCAGCTGCCCTGTGTCCAAATCTGTTTCTCTATTTTCTCAGAATTTGTTTTCCTCCAACATGGTCTGTAAATTTGCTGTACTCCCTGCCCCTGTAGGCGCCCTATCCAAGGCCATGGGAACGCAAAGTTTGTACCTTTTATTTCTACCCCATTGAGTCTGAAGCTTGATTTTTGTGGTAAATTAGGCTTGTGTTTACAGGTTCTTTCAATTGTAGGAAGACGTTTATGTTGCTTAGGAAAGCAGTGACAGTTGCCTTACACAAGCTGTTGATAGTTCGAGATGTTCAAAAGGAAAATAAATAGCAGTGTTTAATATACAGCGTGTTCAAATTTAGTAATAGCTAAGACATACTGTTCTAAGTATAAGCCAGACAGGACCCCAAGTACTTTACATATAGTAACCCATTCTAGTTCCGACTCTCTAGGGGGAAGCACCAAGGAAAAGGGTCTGGAAAGCCTTGAGAACTGGATGTGGTGACTCACACCTGATACCCTCAGCTTTAGGAAAGCTGCAGGAGATGGCTGAAGTTTGGGAACAGCCGGACTACATGACTAAAGTGAAAAAAAAAAAGCCTTTAATTAGGCAATGTAAAAATAAATGGAGGATTTTGGTTTTGGTTTTAAACAGAACAATTGTGTGGTGATTGGCTGTACTCCAGTTGTATATGGTACAGAAGGAACACAGGACAAGGGACTGGGAGATTATGTGGAAACTAATTCAAAAGTAAAGTGACTGAGACTGGTTAGTTACGGACCATGTGGGAGAAAGTAACAGAATTTCTCAGGAAAAGCTAACATTTCAGTGATTAGAAGTAGAAGAAAATGAATGTAGAAGGAATAAGGATAGGATGCCAAAGGATGTTCTAGATATGGCTATCAGGAAGACTGTCTGGTGTGGTATGTGCCACACATCATTAGTAATCATGCTGCCTGTGACACCAAGTCTGAATTCTTAATCTGCCTACTGATTAGCGATAGCCATTTCAGTTTGATAGGCACAAGGGGTGAACCTGACCCAGTTTTCAGTTCTTTCCGCATGCAGGAAAGTAAAGGTGGCTTGAAAGGTGAGTGATGATCTGTAGGAGCACCTTCATTACATACGAAGCTGGCTGTATGTGTCACATCTGTAATTCTAGCACTAGGAAGGGCTGAGGCGGGTGGATTCCTGTCATTTTGAGGTCATATATTTGACAGTAAGATGACATCTCAGAAATCAAAAGTGCAAAAATATAAACTATTAAATCTAGTAGCCATTTTTAAAAGAAACAGGTGAAGTTAGTTTCAGTGTTTTATTTAGCCTGCTATCTCTAAAATGTTCAATTTCAGTACGTGATATTTAAAGACGACTACTGAATACTTTTGCATACATTTGTGAAAACCTTTTTTTTTTTTTTTTTTTTTTTGGATTTTCGAGACAGGGTTTCTCCGTAGCTTTTGGTTCCTGTCCTGGAACTAGCTCTTGTAGACCAGGCTGGCCTCGAACTCACAGAGATCCGCCTGCCTCTGCCTCCCTAATGCTGGGATCATTTGTGAAATCTTGAGTGTATCTAACAACATACACATTTTAAGGCCCAGTGGCCATTGGTGACTAAAGGCTTCCTTAAAGGACAACACAGATCTAAAAGTTACGAAAGTGAATAAAAGAAAACATGCTGAGGAAGTAGGAGCAAAAGGTTAATTCTTTTTTTTTTTTTTTTTTTTTTTTTTTGGTTTTTCGAGACAGGGTTTCTCTGTGGTTTTGGAGCCTGTCCTGGAACTAGCTCTTGTAGACCAGGCTGGTCTCGAACTCACAGAGATCCGCCTGCCTCTGCCTCCCAAGTGCTGGGATTAAAGGCGTGCGCCACCACCGCCCGGCTCCAAAAGGTTAATTCTTGACATCAGTGGAGGTTAAGATGTGAGAAGATAGTGTGCATGTCTCTGTGTGGAGGCACTGGGTAACAAACTCAGGTCCTTTAGGAGAGCAGCCAGTGTCCTTTGGAAGAGCATCAAGTGCTCACAACCACTTAGCAATCCAGCCCCCTGTTAACATTTTATTCTTAAATGTTTGATTCTTTTAAAAGGCATGAGGAGCCGGGCGATGGTGGTGCACACCTTTAACCCCAGCACTCGGGAGGCAGAGACAGGCGGATCTCTGTGAGTTCGAGACCAGCCTGGTCTACAGAGCTAGTTCCAGGACAGGCTCCAAAGCCACAGAGAAACCCTGTCTCGAAAAACCAACAAAAAAAAAAAAGGCATAAGGAATGTAATGTGTTGATGCACATGAACTACCACACCTTTTTGTTTTGTTTTTTGTTTTTTCAAGACTAGGTTTCTCTGTGTTGCAGTCCTAGCTGTTCTGGAACTAGTTCTTGTAGACCAGGCTGGCCTTGAACTCAGAGATCCACCTGCCTCTGCCTCCTGAGTGCTGGAAGTAAAGGCATGTGCCACCACTGCCAGGCTAACTGCCACTAACTTTTAAGAGGGCCAAGAACATCAAAATCTAATCTCTGTGGTCCTTATTAAGAACAGGAGGGAAGGACCCCGGTCATAACCAGTGGTCAGTGAGTCCTTGTTGAATGTGAGACCGAAGGAGCAGCTCCATCAACTGCAAAGATCCTTACATCCTCTGAGCTGAGTCAGAGGTCTGGTGTTTAACTGTGCTGTTCCCTGATAGAATTAATCCCAAGAATTCCTTCTAGTCCTATCTCTTTTTAGAGAGGTCCCTAACTCAACCACCATCACAATAAGAATTATTGTAATGGGCCAGGTGGTGGTGGTGCATGCCTTTAATCCCAGCACTTGGGAGGCAGAGGCAGGTGCCAGCATGGTCTACAGAGTGAGTTCCAGGACAGCCAGAGCTGTTATACAGAGGAACTGTCTTGGAAACAAAGGATAAAAAGGTATCTTCTCAAAAAAAAAAAAAAAAAAAAAAAGTATCTTCTCCATTTCATTTAAAACAGCCCCCCCCATTTGAAAGAAAAAATGCTAATCCAATTGGCCTTCAAATATACATTTGTCTGCCTTACAGTTATGAAATGCTTTCTTATATATTTCACTTATGATGGAAGTAATGTCTGCTTTTCTGATACTTGCAGGGAAAAAAAATTTAGACCTAAAACCTTTAATAGTTAACAAGCACCAGATTAATGTAGACTAATAAAGCAAAGCAGTTGGCAGCAGAAAGCCCAGCTCAGGCAGGCTCCCTTTCCACTTTATTATTTATTTTGCAGTTCTGGAATTTAAAGCCAGGGCCTTAGGCATGTTAGGCAAGGGTTCCATCACGGAGCTGTATCCAACCTGCTCCACCTCTAAGTGTTAATGATCTTAGCCAAGTCACCTCTCTAAGCTTCAGTTTGCTCAAATATCAGATGGAAACACATAGTCCTCATGGGGATGCAGTGAGAGTCTGTAGACTCATTCTAATACAGAATAAAAAATCTTAAGGGAAAAATACATTTTCTTGCCATGATACACACCAAGAAAAAAAACACAAAATAAAAAGAAAAATACATCTATCAGAGAAGCAGCAATTGGCTAGCAACTTGGCAGATATGCCGAAGATTGAGTTTATCAGCGGGCACCATGGTTGGATGGACATTAGTATTTTTAAGGACTAAATGTCTGTGTGGTGCTGGGAATAAGTTTAGGCTTCAACAGTAACAAAAGCCATGATTCATAGAATTAACTTACTTACTGACTTGACTGTGTCGGCCTTGGGTTTTCTACATATATGTCCACCATCAGCCCATCTCATCTATTCATGTGGGTTTGAATATCGTCACATTTGTACCGAAGGCTCAAGTTTATACCAACAGCCAGGGCAGAGCTAAGAGCACTACAGAGATGCTGCCAAAGCCCTGATCACACTACCAGTAAATGCCACTGTTGGTCAAGTCCTTGAGCATTGGCTTTCCATTTGTACGTTTTCTGCCTCTTCTAGCCTACGTACCTGCCTAATACTGCATTTGAATAGTAACTGTTCCAAATTTAGTGCATCTGAAATAGCTTTCCTTCTTTCTAAAATTTCTCCTTCACCTCTGTGAATTGGAGTTACCAACCTCTCCTGGAGCTTTAGGCAGCCCCTGGGAGTGACCCAGACACTTCCCTCACCTTCCGAATCGAGGTCCTGTTCTATCTCTAATGTATGCCAGAATCCCTTCTGCTGTCTGCCTTGCTTCTAGCCATTAATGTCTCTTAGTCCCTGTTGCTGCTCCCCGCTGCCCAGCCAGAGTATAGTAATCCTTTTTAAATGTTCAATTGTCACTCAAAGCCCTTCATTATGTTTCCATGACATTGAGAAATAAAAGGCCAAGACCTTATTAGGCCTACATGGCCTTAAGAGGTAGTTAAATATTCCTTACAAACTGACTCAATGAGCCCCACTGAGGACAGAAGGGGACAGGAAAACATAATTGTCCTACACTGAAAGCAGTAATATAATAAAATGTCAGTTCAGCGTATTGAATATGTGTGTTAGAGGGTGTGAGTGACTGGAACAAGGGGTGAGAAAAGAAATTTAAAATGTGCACTAGCAAAACACAGCCTGCTACTACACAGAGAGGAACAAGGGGGACTCCCAAATTTTTCCAATTCTTTCTAGAAGTTTCCTGTGTGTTTGTGAGCAACGTTTTCAGTTTGTTAATGCCTGAGGTGATGATTTGGGAGTCCAGCCAGAGGTCTCCTCCACATCTCTCCATAAAGTCACCCCAATCTTCTGACAGACTTATTTCTTAACGCCATATT